AAAATAAATCAAACCATCTAATAGTTTGTGTATTGTACATTATAAGAATCTCTTTTCCATTCTAGCAAACAAAGTCCACCGAAGGATTTAACTGTTCGTGTTGGAACTAGCACTCACAATGATGGAGGAAAAGTGTATGATGTTATTGAAATTATAAAACATCCGAAATATAATAAAGCAGTGCCAGATGATTTTGATGTTGCACTTTTACGGATCAAAGAGCCAATATCATTTACTCCATGCACAGTAACTCCTGTAAAATTAATACAATCGGGAAAAGAAGTACCGAAGGGAACAACTTTGAGTGTAACTGGATGGGGCGCCACGAAGGCAAGTGTTATTTCATTTTACATAAAATTCCATATAATTTACCATGTTGTAAGTAGCATTTTACCTTAAGGAAAATTGCATTAATTTTCCACTACGTATACATAATTAACTTAATCAATTAGATTGGAAATTCAACTTTTTGGGTATTGCTCCACTGTTTTCATCAATATTTTTGCTTTCACTGAAAAATAATAATCAATACAATTAAAGTTTTTCATACTTTTAATATATGAAATTATATAAATTAAATTTAAATGATTAACACTTTTCATTTCATCTAGTTCGGGTTCTAAAAATTTAATTTAAGATTACGTCAACTGTAATCAGTAGCTCTCTACAAAACAAAAGCGTGCAATGCACGATAGGCATACATTCTGATTAGAATCGCTTAAGCGCGCAGCGAAATTCTAAACTTCGATGGATTTTTATAATTCAATCGCTTTTTATAGACCTGTAACATTTTACCAAGTTCTTGCAGACTGCAAAGTCTGTCGTCATACAAAGTTTCATCAAAGCCATCGAAAAAAAAATTTTAATATTTAATTACGAAGAAACGGCCGATCTCTACCAAAAACAATATTGATAAATAATTTAAAATGTAGTTGTAATATTTAATGATCCAGTAAATTATGCTTCGTTGTAGGAATGGGGGCCAATTTCGCCAAAGTTACAAGAAGTTAAAGTTAAAGCTTACTCAAGTCAAGAATGCAAGAACAGTCATGCTATTAACAGTGACATCATTTCTGACAGGTAAAACTAAAACAACGACGTACACTAATCTAATTTATTGAATAAATTTTTTGTGATAATCAAATTGGATATTGAGAACAAATTAACTTCCCGTAAGGTAAGTTATAGTAATCGAAAATATTTTTTTTATATATCTGTACGTTTCAGAGGTTTCTGAACATTTTGCCATACCTTAGAAAAAATGGATGTATGTAGACGTGTGTGTGTGTTTGTATGTGCGGATACAATTTTTCGTCGACGATTTTATGAACACCGATCAACCAATTTGAATGATTCAAAAAACATTCATATTACTATTAAGAATTAGACGTGCTCATTAGTTTTTGGCAAAGACAGGTTCAGCCGTTCCGAAGATCTTGCATCTTCAAAAAGTATCAAAAATTGTAATTTAGTTTTTGAGAGAACCGAGCATCCAATTTGAATAATTCCAAAAACATTTTATTTATACTGACGAAATGAAGAATTGATAATTCATTTCATCAATTGAAAAATTGAAGAATTGATGATTTATTTCTAATCTAGCGGTTTCGGAGATACAATAGAAACAATAAACTAGTGGGGTGGGTGGCATCGTGCCTTAAGGCAAATTGCTGGAACTTCCCGTACCGTAACAAAACGTTCGAGGAATATTAAATGTTTTCAAATAGATTAAATATTGTAACATTGTCTAATATTTATAATAATTATATAAACTGAATTGCAGAGTTGAAATTATTTGTTTAAAGTATATTAGAACTATAGTCAGAATTAAAAATAAAATCTGAATTATTTTCGATATACAAAAAATTAAAAAAAAAAAAAAAAAAAAAAAATGGTACAAAATTTTTTTTTCCAAAATCAATTAATTTGTTAAGACAAGCAGAAAGTTTTTTGAATCAATTGAATCGGACGCTTAGTTCTCTCAAAAACTACCATTTTTTGTACATTTAGCTCTGTATCTCCGAAATGGCTGGGCCTGCCTTTGCGCAAAACTAATAACCCTTTCTCCCAATCATTACTAATGGAAGGTTTTGTAGATTATTCAAATCGGATGCTCCGTTCTCTCAAAAACTCGATTTCTATTTTCTGCACTCTTTGCTCCTTATCTCCGTAACTGCTGGACCTGTCTTTGCCAAAAACTAATCAGCTCTTCTCCTTATTAATAGGAATCGAATGTTTTTTAAACCATTCAAATCGGTTGATCCGTACGCCCGAAAACGTGGACGAAAATTTGTATCCATACATACATACACACACACACACACACACACACACACATCCATTTTTTCTGAGGTATGCCAAAACGTTCAGAAACCTTCAAAACGTCGAGAAATGTAAAAATTTTCAATTCCGATTTTCGGCCCATTACAATAACTTACCCTACGGGAAGTTAAAAAATGTCATTTGGCGGTCAAAAATGATCATATTTATTTCAATAACTAGATGACCCGACAGACGTTGTCCTGTACCCATGTCTACAATTTTTAATATAATATACTAATATTTACAGTTTAGCTAAAAATAATAATTATTGTTTTTTAAATTACTCTTTACTCCAAAATGCATAAACATTTATAATATGAGCGGTATTAAATGTAGAAATGCTTTAAATAAAATGATGAGTCTCAATTCCCACACTATATTGGAAATTGAAGACTTTTAAACCGTATAACATAACCATATAACATAACACTGGTACTTCATGTTGGATTAAATTAATTTAATTTTTTATTATTTAAGATATCCAAAATTGTATCTTAAAATTCTCCTAATCGATATCGTGAGGGCCGAATTGTATGTATTCATCTCTACTTTCCCATTTGTTGTCATAAAGTAAAATTTTTATGAATTTTAAAAATATTGTGGAAAGATTAGTAAAAGATGCAAAGAAATTATATATTAAAAGAAAACTATATTGAAAATTTCATATCCGAATCTTGTGTTGGCGCCCCCTAAGACGTGCGCTCGTATTTTTGGCATGCATCGCAGTAAAGGTAGGACCGGCGCTGATTAATACTTAATTTCATATTTTAAGTGAATTAATTTGTCAAATTTGTTCATATGTGTATAATTCCATATATACATATTGTATTTTATATTATTTTAATTTCTGGCACATCTCAGCTGCCTTTCGGCAATAATAATGTAAACATTTCATTTTTGTTATTCATAATCATAAATTTATTATACATATTCTAATATTGTCGAGGTTCATTAGTAAATTGAAATTTTTGGCAGGTGATAGTTTTCATTTATTTTCAATGCAAACAATGACATGTCGTTTTTTGCAATTTTTGCATTTATTTTTACAGTATTGCACATACATATCAGTACTTTATAATTACATACATCCTAGAAAATTTCCTTAACAAACTTTAGAAAGATTTATCAAAATCCGAATAATCGTTTAGGAGGAGTATACAGTGAGTGTTTGTAATTTAATATAAACTTTATATAATAGTAATAAAGCTCAAATTGATTCTACGTTCTAGTTAGAAAACGTTTGTATGAGAAAAAGAAAAGGGCTGTTTTTAGGGTTTTCCCGGCAATTATTCGATTTTTACTCGCCATAAGAACTATCCTTGGACTTAAACGAACATTTTAAAAAAAGAATTGGCCAAATCTAGGTGTTGTTGAGTTATGCGCTTACCAACACATTTTGCGATCCATTTTTATATATAAGATAAGAACAATATTTGTTCAGTTTTCTGTGGGTTCCGTACCAATATTTATCCGTTGTGCTGCGACGCAGCGCCCAGGCACTTCGATATTTCATTTCACTTTTCGCAGTTAACTTTTTGCGATTGCTTTGAAAAAAATTCAAAATTTCCAAAATATTTCAAAGTATAAAAAAAAACTAATTTTTCAGAAAAGTCAATTTTCTCAAAAAAAATTAAAAATCTCAAAAAACGATTTTTTCACATTACTAAAAGAAAATTTAATCTTTTTGAAATATTTTTGGTACGGGTAGTTCCAGCAATTTGCCTTAAGGCACGAATTGAAATTCGAATAAAAGGATGATCTGAATCAGTGATTCCCAAAGTAGTCCATATGGATCACAAGGGGTCCAAGACAACTTTCAAAGGATCCATGTTAGCGGTAAAAAAATTGCAGGGACAACGAAATGGAAGTTGAGGTCATAGTGGATCACAAAGTTCCACGTTAACACTTTGGAGACGGCTGTCCACCTCAGTGGACAAACATACTCTGTGAGGCACAGGCTATTTTATAAACAATGACTCAGTTTTCATCGAAAAGTTAAATAAATCACATATAGCAGTGATAAACAGTACATATTGTATTTTGAAAATAATTTGAAGTTGTTTTAGTAGTATTTTTAGCATTTTTTCTTTGCTATATGTTCTTTTTTTTTAATATTTAAAACGACCAAGCGCTTTTAAATATGGCAAAACGACTGGTGAATTTTGTGAATTAAGCAGTAGTGAAGATGAGTTTCAAATAGACATTCATATAGACAAATTTTACGAAATTACTATTCGCACCGATGATAGTGATGAATGTGATGATGATATTATCCAACCAACAAAAAGAAGAAGAAGTTCGACAAATTAAATGAATAGCGGAAAGACATTAGCGAATGTGTCGATTCTCCTTCAATAATCAAGTTTGACATACATCAACAAACACCCCGACTACAAATACCAAGCAATATAAGACATCCAATAGGTTATTTTACTTTATATTTTATAAATGAATTATTAGACAATATGATAGAAAAAATAAACCATTATGGCAGCAAAAAAATGACCAAAAAAACTGACTAATCAATGGCATATTCTAAATGCGAGTGAAAGAAAAAGGGATTGTATTGTCTGTTCTGACAGAAAAGCACCAGGATAAAGGCGGCGAACAACATTTTATTGTAAAACATGTCAAAATCAACCAGTTATGCATTTTGGAAATTGTTTTGTACGTCACCATTCTTTATAAAATGATCAAAAATAAATTAATATTATAAATGTATGTCCTTCAATGACCACAAATTTTTATCAAACAAATTGCATAACATACCCGAAAGTGTTAATATATATTTACTTATATTATACTATCTGTAATAAAGTCAAATACAGTATTTATACATCGCACATGAAAAGTAAGTCTATGGCAATGCTGAAAATTTTAATAATTTTTACTAAATCTATGCATCAAGTTTTATCGGTCCGAGAAATTTATTTATCATCATAGTGATTTGCTTTATTCTACATAATTAGTTATACATCAAAACTATAATAAACTAGTGGTGTATGGCATCGTGCCTTGAAGCAAATTGCTAGAAAGTTTTTATAATCATTTCAATCGGATGCTTAGTTCTTACAAAAAGTGCCATTTTTGTACATTTAGCTCGGTATCTCCAAAACGGCTGGGCCTGTCTTTGCCAAAAACCATTCAAATCGGTAGATCTGTGCGCCCGTAAACGTGGACGAAAAAATGCGGACATACAAAACACACACACACACATCCATTTTTCTGAAGTATACCAAAATGTTCAGAAACCTTCAAAACGTGAAGATATACAAAAATTTTCATATTAGATTTTCGGTCCATTACTAAAACTACCCTAAGGGAAATATTTGAAGATTTATCAGATTATGAAACAACTATTAATAAATTATTATTAATCAATAAAATAAAAATAATCAATAAAACAATTCAGATAATTTATAAAATTTCAATAATTCAAATTCATCTATTATTTCAGTATGATGTGCGCTGGTTTTCCTCAAGGACAAAAAGATACTTGTCATGGGGATAGCGGTGGGCCACTTGTAGATGAAAAACAGGTTCAAGTAGGAGTTATATCCTGGAGGCGAGGATGCGCGCGACCTGGATATCCTGGCGTATATACAAAATTGAGCCACCCGGAAATCCAACAGTTTATTAAAAACAATGTAAAACTTTAAATCATAAAACTGTATGAAAAACAACAATAAACAATTACGGAAAAATAGTGACATATTTTATTAATCATTTATTAATTCTTTATATAACATTCTTTTGTATTCTTTTTGAACAGCCATCAGAACTACGTGTACAAAAATCTGTTATGAAAGATATATTGTAGTCAAGAGACAACTCAGTGATCAACCACACTTATTTTTGTGTTAATTAATTATATATGAGATATGTATAACTAATTAGCATATATTTATAGCCGGCTACGCCCACGAAAGGCGAATTTTATTTGAAATTATATTGAGCTCTATAACCACAAGCAAAAATTTGACATCAGAGCTGCCTGATGCCAGGCTCTGACCGTCGCGAGAATCGAACCAGCGAACCCGGGACTAGTTCGTGCTAGCGCATATTCGAAACAATTTTGGCACCGCTGTGCCCTTGTTTTATAAATGCTTTTAAATTTTATGCTTTATAAATGTTTACGACAATATACAATTAGGTATAGTAGGATATCCATGACACATTTTAGCAAATAACAATATTACAGTTTAACCCTTTCCAGCCGGCTGTCTCCCTATGGAGATAACGTTGCGCTCGTCAGTCTTCTGTCAGTCTTATAAACAACTGTATTGAAAACTTAAAAGTATATTTAAAGGATGAGCAACCCGCGGTCTGCGGGCTTCATGCGGCCCTTTAAATATTTTTCTGCAGCCCGCCAAGCATTTCTAGAGTAAAAATTTATTTATTTCTTCAACTTTCTTCTCTCAATAAATTATTATGGATTCATTTCAATATTTATTAAATTATATTATTTTATTTAATTTAATATTTTTATATTATGATGTATATCACTGTATATCAAGTCAATAATAAATATGTGTAGCGCGCCATAAAATTGTGAAAATTAAATGTTTATTCTTAGAATAAATCTGTGTTTTGTTCTCTTTTCAAATGTTACTATTAGTTATTTTTTACCCTTTTTTATTATATGATCTTTTTTTAAAAACCGGCCAAACAATTCATTACAAGTACAAGTTTTCTAGTACAAAATTTTCATCCAGAGATATACGAGACATACATGTAATCTCTGCCTGATTTTCTTCACTTTCAAAAAAGATATTACTGTAAATGTATATGTTCTTCAAAACAAATTGCATAACATGCACAATAATATCATCTCGTATAAAAAACGTGCATTACATTTTAAAGTGAAATGATAAAACTGCCATGATGCTAATTAATAGTGATTAAGTAATTATAATAATAGTGGAATCAAACCTCTATGCCTTTTAGATATTGAGTTCGACTAAAACATGCTGCAAAAAAAGAATTTAGATATTACTGTTGCAGAGAATGCAAAATAAAATTCTCAGAACTCTAGTCGACGCTCCATGGTTTGTAAGTAATCATATGATACATCAGGACCTAAAAATGCCATATATAAAAGACGTCACCAAGGATAAAGTCTTAACAAAATTGCAACACATACCAATAAATTACTAAAACCACTTGTGGGAGAAAATACAAACCGAAAACTTAAAAGAAAATGGCCTGCCGACCTGACCATGTAATCTCTGCCTGATTTTCTTCACTTTCAAAAAAGATATTACTGTAAATGTATATGTTCTTCAAAACAAATTGCATAACATGCACAATAATATCATGTTTACAGCAGATACGTTTTCGATGCAATAATTTTGAATTGCTTGAGATCAGAAACAACTTTTTATAATTTTTTGAAAATGGTTTTTATAACTTCCTTAAAAAGTTTTTTATTTAATTAGATAAAAGATCAATCTCATTAATCAGTTATACTCAAAACTTCCTTCTGATGAATTCTAATGGAAAGTTCCTTATGTATTCGCCGGCAAATATAGTATCGGTCGTACACAAACCTGTGTGATGGTGTAGCAAAATTATTTAATAAATATATATGTAAAAGGTAATTATTTTTATGATCTACAATATGATAATAGGATATACATTATATTTGCACCAGACTTATTTTTGCCTATTGGGATTTAAGTCAAAGCTGGACGCAAAAAAAATCCTAATTAAAAAATAAACCGAATTGTCAACTGACTAACATCAGTATGTTCATTGGCGTAACTATACCATATAGGCCCTATTTTGTTTATTGATAATTTAATACTATTTCGTGCTATCCCTTGTTACCCCTCTAGAATCTCCGTTTTACCCCTGCGGGAGTAATTACCCCCAGGTTGGGAACCACTAATATAGGGCTTGTGGTAAATGCTTTGGATGAGACTCTAGTAAAATCTTTCGATGGGGCCCCATCAGCAAAAATCGTCACGTTGTACAAAGTTTAATTTTAATAAACGGCGAGATTTTTCAGATTACTCAATTGCATGTTGTATATGTTCCACTACAGACCATAAGCCTCTCCTCTCTTAGGCGAGAGTAGTTGTAAAAAAAATCACTGATGCAACTTCAATCGCAATGAAGTAAAATAATAGATGAAATCAACGTCAATTGAATTGATTTATGCATATTCAATTAAACATATATATGAGCTCGCGGCCGTTTAGGTCGGTGCTCTTTTGGATTTGCGGTTCTATTGCCTATCCCTGACACCCTACAGTTATAGCATGGATGATGCCAAAATATTGTTTATAAAAAATTGTTTAAATATATTTAATGCAAATATTGAATAAAACATTATATTCCAAAAGAAATCTATATTTTAGTGAAGGTATGTACATTTTTGATGTTATATATCAATAATATATAATTATTTACTTCCTACTATTCGCACAGATGATCTACATATTTTCACATTTTGTGCAAAAAATATTTTTAGTCAAAGGCGACTTATAAATTATCTTATGTAAGTATAAATATTTTATAGAAATATTTATCAAAATTTATCAACAATAATATTTTGGGTACTCACCTACACGCAACCCCCAGCCCCAGCATCTATATTTTATAAAACATTTAACACATTCACTTAACAAAGAAAACAGAATTTTCACTTCACAAACCGAGCAACAACCATAACAGTCCACTCCGAATACTTTATAACTAACATTTACATTATATTGTAAACTTTTTAACTAAAATTTACATTATACTGTGTGGGCTTTATAATGTTTTACATTAGCCCAGGACTTCGATCAACGTCCACGAACGTCCACACCGCACCAACAATACAATTAAAATAAATAGCCGTACTTACTTCCATGAAATCTTCAGAATCATGAAGTCATGCCATGTTTATTCTTTCACTACAGTAATGAAACTGCTCAATAGAAGACATCTGAAGTTAGATCTCTAATTCGAATTTCGAATTCAAAACCATGGATTATATAAATATTGACACACAAAATAAAATAAGATTCAATAAGTACATTTTAGTATAAATCAAAATATAGCACTATAACAGCCGCTGTGAGTTCTTGTGACCAGTAAAGTTAACTAGATTTCTAAAATTAGATGTGATCAAAAACTAGAAGAAAGTATCATTTGTCCTAACGCAATCTGCTATTTTTTCCAAAATTTCAACAAATTTAAATTAAATGTATATTAAAAATCTTTTGTGCCTTTTTCTGCAAGAAGACTAAAATTTCTAGCTGATGATGATTTTCGTTTTTCTGAAGTTTCTGCCTTTTTCGAATTTTTTTATTAACTTCCCATAAGGCAGTTGTAGTAATGGGCCGAAAATCGAAAATGAAAATTTTTGCATATCTTCACGTTTTGAAGGTTTCTGAACATTTTGGCATACCTAAGAAAAAATGGTCTGTGATGTGTTTTGTATGTCCGCATTTTTTCGTCCACGTTTTCGAACGGATCAACCGATTTGAATGGTTCAAAAAACATTCGATTCCTATTGCTAGGGAGATGTGCTGAATAGTTTTTGGCAAAGGCCGGTCCAGACGTTACGTAGATACGAAGCAAAGAGTGCAGAAAATACAAATCAAGTTTTTGAGAGAACCGAGCATGCGATTTGAATGATATAAAAAACATTCAATTTGTAAAATGATTAGGAGAAAAGGTAATTAATTTTTGGTAAAGGCAGGACAGGCTATTTCAAACATATAGAGCTAAATGGGCAAAAAATAGGTTATTTTGAAAGAACTAAGCGTCCGATTTGAATTATTTAAATAACTTTCTGCTTGTTTTAACAAAATAATTGCATTGTAAAAAATTTTTTTTGTATATTTTTTTTTTAAGTATACCTAGTTGCTTAAGTGTTATAAAAGTTTTCAAAGAATTTCCGCAAATAACTTAATTATTTAACTGAAAACAAGATTTTGGAATACGCTTTCGTAAGCACTCATCTATTCAGCTTGGACGTGCTTAATGCGTACACGGTGTAAAATCCTAAGGGCGCGGCCCATTATTACAAACTTTGATAAATATTTATAATTAAACTACTATTCACAGATATATAGTAGTTTAGGAAGTTCGTTTAGACCTTGAACTCAATCACTGCAAATTTTTATTAGAAAAAATAACTTCAAAAACTAATATTCAAGTTCAATATACTTATGTTAGTAGTTTCAATGTTCTTAGCATGGTCGATTTTTACAGCAAAGCACATTTTTGAATTTTCAAAATCTGTTCAGAAATTTTGACAAAAATGTTAATAAAAAACTATGCACTTATCTGCTGATAATAAAAAAAACTGCTCAAACGATCGTCGTGCAAAACTATTAAACATGAAAGTTCTTATCGAATACCATCAAATGGCATTTAAATTTTTAAATTCAGAGCAGCCGTTTTTGAGAAGAGATTGACTAAATGTTTTAGCATTTTAGTACATATATTTCTTTAACACATACATACATTTGTACTTTATCGATTGTTGGTATCAAAAGAAAGAAAACAAACTTATCGTCGGTAATTTAACGAGTAATTTGATGTCTAAAGTATCAAGTCCAATCTATATTGAATATCAAGATGAGTTATAAGTTCCTAGTCATAATAAAATTATCCAACATTATTATTTAGGATATTATTATTATTATTTTTAACAAGATATCAATCCAAGAATGAAAATAAATTGAAAATTTGAAAGCTCATATGCTA